TAGGGGATCATGAGATAGCAATGGCTTAAGATAACTTGGGTATTGCTTGGAAGGAAATGTTTTGTTAGATTTGATGGTATGGAAGGCTGAGGTGATGTTCTTGTTAGACTTGAGGCTGCTACTTGCACAGGGCATAAGGACGGCAGCAGAAGGACTCCTGCTCCGGCTGTGCCATCTTCTGTTCAGCCGCATCCTGCTCCTCGTGGCAGGATTGAGTGCCATAAGTTGCTATGTTCCCAAGGCTTCCCTGCAGCTCTCTGAGGGCCAGACTCCTGGGCCTCCCAAAGGTGAGCTGGGTTCACAATTCCCTTAGAAACTCAGCCCTTGAGCATCTCTGTCTGGGCAGGTGGATTTAACTCTTGTGCAGCCATTGTTTGTCTTGACATTAGGCTGGAAGCCTCACATGATACTGGTGGAGCTTCTTTATGGGCTTCCCAGACTGGCTTCTGCATTGATTTCATAGTCTTTTTATGGTGTTGGTCCACTTGAAACTGTGGCAAAACACTGGGGTTCTTCAGCCAGTAAGTTCTGTTTTGTGGGCACAGGTGGATTTAAAATTTTAAAAAGCTGTTGATCACTCATCTTTTTAATTTGTTTTGTTTTGTCATTTGGCTGTTTCCAAAAGGAGCCATTTCTGAGGAAGAACTTGCGAAAAAAAGCTGTAATATGGTTCACTGGTTCCAGAAGGGTTGGTTGTTCTTGCCTCGGGCAATGGAAGGAAGCATTTCCTGCAGGGGAATTTAGTGGCCCAATGAATGGGTGTCACCAGAGCCATGAGGTGGGAAAGGTCTGTAAAATGAAGAAAAATGAGCTTGTATGTGGTGTGATGATGCACAAGCAGAAGTAGCTGAAACTGAGTGAAGTAAGACAGAAAGCCTGGTCTGCAGATGGGATATTCCTGGGGTTTTTTTAAACATGATTCGGATAACTGGGCCTTAATTTACACAAGCTGGTAGAATATTGCTTTCCTGATTAAATTCTTGATAAAGCAGTGTAGGATGAGTGAATTTGGAGGAGAAGCACTGGCGCTGTGTTGGCGTTAAGGACACATATTGGAAGAGGCCCCTTGTGGCCGGCAGCACCTCCTGAGATACCAGTATATCTGTTCTGATGGAGATGGAGGTCTTGGAGTCCTGGACTCCTCTAGAGCCAGGAGCTGGTGCCAGAGCCAGGCAGGAAGGTGACCAGGTTCAAGAGGGATGACAGGATCATTGGGTCTAAATGCCATCTGTGTAGCACATAGGACGAGGTAACTACAATTGCTGTGTGGTTACCTCACTGAGAAGACAAACCAAAATGCAGGTATTCTGCAAATGCATATGTTGGGATATTTATCAATAATAAATGTGTAAACCAGAAAGGTCAGCTGTGTTTAATGTCATGTGGCAGCTTTGTGATTTTAATTACAGTAAAAACCCCAGTGACAAATTAATTCAGTGCTCTTTAGAGCTTGTTCCTCTCTGATGCAGTTTGTTTTGTTGGCTTACCTGTGCTCGGGGAAAGTTTGGCTGCCCCTGCCATGTTAGGAGATATTTTACTTAAATAAAGAAAATGGGATAAAGTGGCAAATTACTTGCATTGTCTCATGTACTGGGGGAGTCATTCACTGTAGGTCAGTGTTTCAGCAACACCTTTTTACTGTATTGGATAGCAGGGTTGCAGGCAGAATCACTGTAACTGGTGCAGAAAGGTTGCTGCATCTGACCTAAAATTAGAGTGACTGACAATTGCCTCTTCCCACTTTCTTTCTATTTTGTATGCAGTTTCAGGTATCTGAGGTAAATTGGAGTAAGCTTGCATTTGTCCCCTTTTAACTTTTTGTCATTTAAAAAAAAAAGGGGGGGGGGGGACTGATTTGCTGTTTTTGTTGTAGTTTGTTTGGCTCCTTTAGCTTCTAAAACTCTTTCTTGATCTTCTCCCAAGCTGTTTTCAAAATGCAGTGAACAGGATCCTCCTCCTTATACAACATTCCTTCAGTTTTTATGAGCAGTTATCAGTTTGGCTGTTTTAAATTTATTGACTGCTACAGAAACCTGACTTCTAAATGAGAACCCCGCAAACGTTTTGTGCTTGAGCTACTTTTAAATTGCAGCTGACGTTTTAGCAGTGCCAGTACATGTGCTTGGGCTTTTGTTTCCCCCTCTGAACATGTCTGTGCCTGCATGGCTCTGGTTTCAGCTTTGCAGGTGGGGGCAAGGTCCTGCTTGCCCTGTCTGCCTGACAGAGGGGATATGAGTTCCTCTGGTTTGTGGTCCACGCTCGGCAGTGGTGTCCTCATGACACAGGCTGTGACTGACTGTCGACAGCAGCAAAGCAGCATCACACTGAAGGCACAGGTTTCTCGCTGCCGTGAACCCAGAGCGTTACAAGTAGCGCTGAAATGTTCCCTGAGCTTTGGCAACAGTTCACGGCTGTGGTGTTCATCGTGTACCCATCGAGAAGCTGGCGATGGCGTACAAGGATGAGGCTTTGATTTCAGTCTGGTGATACTCTCCAGGTTCTCAGTTGATGATAAGACCAGCTCAGTTAAAGAGGTCCAGTTACATTTGTTTCTGCACCTATTTAAAAGACTTTTTTTTTTTTCCTGAATGTAGTATCAGTAGAGGTTCCTGTACTTTTTTCCACTTCACTGACAGCACTGTCCTTGTTTAACTCCAAATAAATCTTAGTAACGTGTGTAGCCCAGAGATGAGGGGAGAAAACTAATCTTTAGGTCAGGACCTATAGAAAATGAAATGAATTATGAACAGAAGAGAGAGGAGTACTTTCCTTTATGTGTTGTCCGAGCAAAGGGAAATTGCCACAAAAAATATGAAGGGTGGGAGTGGGAAGTGGTGTTGGGCTTTTTTTTCCTAAATCCAGATGAAGCAAAAAATTACAACTTTTCCAAATGGTCCCCAGTTACACTAAGCAAAGCATAGGCAGGTAAGAGAAGCAACCTCCCTGTAGGATTCATTCAACATTGCTAGGATTCTTTTGTTTGCATTCAGCTTCAGCATGAAGGTGTTGGGGGCGGGGGGGTGAGTTTTGGGTTTTTTCCACGACACAGACATGGTTAAAAGTCACAGCATACATTTCCTGACTTGGTGAAAAGCCTGTGACCTCTCTCAGTTGTCTTGTTCATCAGAAGGCAGATAGGTAATAAAGAGTCTCCTGTGTGAGAGGAGTAAGGAGAACCTGCTGTTTTAATTTTGTTCACAGCAGTGGGCCAAACTTTGTTCTTTCAGTGCTGGCCTTGATAATTGGCTCGATATAATATAGGAATTCAAGCCATTGCATATCTCTGGCCTTATAACTGCTATGTCATAGTTAAGAGGAGTGCAGAGTCTCCTGCAGGAACATACAGTAAATAAGAACAATAAGCATGTTATAAAGTATGTAGAAGCAATGGCTTTAAAGGGCCTCAGCTCAGCTCTGGTGGGTTAATTTGGATCCAAGTTGCCTGGATAAATGGATTTTGCTGGTTTTCACTCTGGGGGCAGTGTGGGTTTGATTTGAAAGATTTTCTGGACTAAACACTCTGTTCGTGTTTCTGATTCCTGGGAACTAGAATTAAGGCATCCACTTTTTGGGGGAGTTTCCTGAACATGAAGTGTTTGCCTGTAGTGTGCCTTGCCTTTGGGGTATCCCATATCCTGCTGCCCCAAGTAGCTTGCACAGGCACACGGTAGCGTTTTGTTTTTCCTCTGGCCACCCAAAGCTCTCAGCCATGGTCAGCTAAAACTCATTTACCTTGTTTTTTACAGACCTCCACGGTTTGTTCGTCATTTTCAATGAGGTTCTAACACCTGTTAGGCGCTCCTCCTTCCTTTTTTTGGAGAAGCATTTAATTATGACAGGGTTTCCCTTGGAGCACATCCTCCATTCAGTTCCCTAATTGTAGAATTCTCTGTGGGATTCTCCAGATGGGGGATAGAGGATAATCTTCTCAGAGCTCCAGAAGAAATGTGATGCCAAATTAGAGAAAATAGATCCTTTTTATTAAGCTCTCGGGCTCTTTTTACTCTTATTTTAAGGTGACCTTCTGTTAAAGAGAAATGTTGGATAAATGGCTATCCTTTTAAATAATCCTCAACAACCTTACCTGGGTTAGATTAGAAATTCTGAATGGATTTAAGCTTTTTTTGCCACTCATGCTGTCATCACAGAGCAAGGAGAATGAACTTGCCTGTTTCCCTTTTGTTTTGGGTTGGTTTCGTTTTCAAGCTGTAGGCTCTGAATCAGGGAGTGCTGGCAGAGAGCTTGGCGTGGTGGGCAGGTATAAAGACAAAGCCCCCTCCTTTGTGAAGCGGTCACAGTGCCACTTTATGGGTCACTTCACTGCATGCTAGAGCTGTGGCACTGCTGTTTCCATCCCTGAGGGGTTTCCAGGCATCCTAAAAGTGCTACTCACTGCCGCTGATGTTTGCAAACAGGGCCAGTACTGGCCATCGCATTTCGTGCCCAATTCCTGGCCATATCTGGGTCTGCTAAGTTGGCTAAATCTGGCATGTGATGGCTGAAGGGCTACAGGGGCTGTCCTTACAGAGCCAGTTCTGCTGGAAGGTTCCCATGTATTTGATGTGCATAAATAAATGCTCTGTGAGCTCCTGGGTTAGCAGATGATACTGATATTTTTACAGGGTGAGTGGAGAAACTAAAGCACAAAGAAAGGTAACTGCAGTCCTGTAGTAGTGAGTGGGTTGACAGAGCCAGAAGGATTCTAGAAGTGGCAGACTCTGGCCCCCTGTTCTAATCTTTGCCTCTCTCTGGGATTTTCTGTGTGTTGAAGTCTCTAGGGAACATTTTCTGTGGCACCAGTAAGAGTACCAGCTTCTGCACTGGAGGGGAGGAAATTCTCGTCAGCAGGGAGGATGAGGTTGTAGCTGTAGATTTTAATGTATGTAGTTGGTTGGCTTTCTGCTGCACTGTGCCACTGGAGATGTGCACAGCTTGCAGCAGTTGAACTTTGGTGCTCAGAGGTCAAAGGTGACTAATCCAAATTTTTGTTTATCTTCCAGGTCTACGCACAACGAACTAGAAAAGAACCGGTAAGTAGCTAATGAGTCGAATTCTAAGAAATGCAAGCCTAGTGAGTGTAATGTGCTTTAACCTTATCCATGCAGGTGCCATTTGATCGGCTTTGGCAGCTGCGAATGACCCACCTTGCATCACGTAGTTTTAAAAGTTGGGGGGAAGACACAAAAAGATCTGAAAAAGAAGCTTTGTTTTTGGTTGTGGGGTGGTTTTTTTTCCCTCTCTCTGAAAAGGCAAGAAGTGACCCAGTTTTGTGACTAATCTGTATGCAGAGTAAATACTGTTCTTCTCCTGACACAGTGAAATCTGATTGGGGCACTTTCCATACATGAGGTTGCTACGGGATCAGGTTTCTTGGGCCCTGGGTAATATGTGTTACCATGAACCAAAGGGCAAAGCCCGGTGCTCTGCACCCTCTCCCCCCACACCCCCACTGGGCTGTGACAGTCTCTGCAACACAGAAGAAAATGCCATTGTCCAGAGGCTCCGAGGTCTGGCTACCAGTGCTCCTGCAGAGACTCTTCTAACCTGTTTTAGGATTGTGCCTGTTTATCCTTGAATCTGACGTTTTAGCAAGCCCTGCAGTTTTGTTACTTGGCTGGCTCTGTTATATGACTCAACCCTTTTGTAACAAGAGTTAAAGTAAGATAAATACCATTGAGGCAAGGGGAGCTAGTTCACACACAGATCAGATTATCGCCTTCCATTCAGGATGCTCTAGTTAAAGTTATGTCAGGGTTTCCATTATAAACTTATCTTGGCTCCTCTGTGGGATTTTGGGGGGGCTGAGGGTGGGTGTCTGTGTTTTTTGTGGCTGCTGTAACAAAGGCAGTGCTCTGGCCAGCTGCTCCTATGAAGAAACCCCCAGGGTGGGAAGGAAAGCTGAGTCTAAATAGGCTGATTGCCTCCTCTTCTCTCTTAGCAGCCATCATTTAACAAGGGATGGGAGGACTATGGGGATGGCCAAAGACACACAGAGGCTTTGAGCCAAGTGTGTAATTTCATTCAGACAAGATCTTCCCATGTGGCTTCAAGGGAATTGGAGCTGAATACCTCGTGAATTGTGTTGCCCTCAGTTTCCCCCACATCTGCCTCCCCTGGCAGCAGCAACGCTGGGAAGCAGCTTGGCCTTTGCATGGTGTGGGTGTTTTCTTCCAGCCTGTGCTTCTACCTCCTAGCAGTTTTGAGTATCTAGAGTTGCCATGGTCCTGTCTTTCTGGGTTAATGCAGGGAGGCTTTTTATTTGGGTTATGTTGCTCCCTGAGTCTCAGCCTCTCCAGTCCCAGGTCGAGCTGTGTTGAGGAATGTTGACTCCTGGGTTTTCCAGTGCACTATCCGGTTATATTTACCACTGAGGGAAAAAAAAATGCAGTCCTTGGGTCTGACCCAGAATTGAAGGTGCTTTTTTCTCCATGACAACAGTAAACCGTCACTAATCTTCAATGTGTTTATTTGCATATCTAATTGTTATTGCAAATACTGCTTACACTCAGTACAGCTTTAGAGCAGAACTGTCTCCATCTTTCCCTGTACCAGCCTGGTCCTCTTACATTGGGCAGGTTTGCATGGATATGTGATCATCCATTTCTAGCCTCAGGCCTGTGGGGCAGCCAGCAAAGCTTCAAACTCTCTATGAGCGAGACCTTAGCAACCACACTTACTGTCCAGCTAAGGACTGGCATGTATCGATGGGGTTAGGATGTGCCTGATACCAGCTATCTGTGTGAGTTGAGGACGTTTCTGCCTTGTTTCCCTGTCTGTAACTGAGGACAGTAATGCTACCTCAAGTGGGGATATCATGAGGATTTACTACTGACCAGCACATCATTACAAGTGTTACTAGTGAGAGGAGTGTTATTACCTGTGCTTCCCCTTATGCCGCCTTTTCCTGAATGCTGATAAGATACTTGCTGCTGAATTTGTTCTTCCATTCCTGGTTGGTGTAATATCTCTTTCTTCCTCTGCTTTTGTCTCATTTACTCTCCCTTAGTCCTCCACCTGCTTCTGGCTGAAGATTCCTAACCATCAGCCTTCTCAGCAAGGTCTTTTCTTCCAGGCCCTCCCATTCTGAGGCACTGTACTCTAGGTCTGTGTCTCAGGCGTGGTTTTACAGGCCCTTGGTTTTCATCCCTGTGGGAAGGGCGCACGTTTAATCATGTTGGGTGGTCTGTACAGGCAGACTCCTGTATCTGGGAACTTTGTTCAGGAGTCCATTGTTCCTGGTTTGGGATTATCTGTCCCTTAATGCAGATGCTATGGCTTGATCAGCTACTCACATCTGCAAACCCAGCTAGACTCTGCCGTGCCTTTGCTGTGTTTGCAGTGTTCATTACCAGTGATTTGGACAGCAAGTTTCATACTGGAAGCATTTATTTTCAAACTCCACAGCAGTGTTTTCTGAGTGAGGGGGGATTACTTCCTGGTTAGATTTTCATCATGTTTGATTTGCTCTCTTGTTAAGTTTGTCAGTGTCTCCAGACTTAACTGTTGCAAATATAAAAGCCCTGATAGTAATGGCTTTGTGGCTGACAGGTGCTCATTTTCCCTATTATTTGAGATTATTCCTTTTGAATCTCACTGTTATCTCCATTATTGACACACACTATAATTTTCAAAATTGTCCACTATTAGGTCTCTGACTCTGGTTTTTCCCTTCTTGTCTGTGAACAGCAGCCTTCTTATGTTCAGTTAAATTTTGGTTTAACCCATTCAGTGATTACACAGAGTTTCTTTCAAGCAAGAGAACAGTAGAAAACCAAAATGCTCTCCTTCTCCCTTTTGAATATGTGATTTAACTTGAACTCAGTATTGTGGAGCTGATGATGTTTTAACGTGTCAGGATTAAGAATCTTGAACCCCTTTAGTGTCAAAAATAACTAAAAATGTGGGGTTTTAAAATTAAAGCAGTGTTTTAAATGCCACTCCTTTTCTTAATCTTGAAATATTTCATGAACACACAGTGGTTCTGCTAAGGAGCTGCTTGATTTGGTACCAAATATTAGCTGATAATACTTAAATGACTTTTCTTCTTGCTTTCATTTGTTGTTTTTATCTGAAAAGATTGCAGTGACATTTATATAAGGGACTTTGTTTGTTATAAGAGATTAAAGTTAATTTATAGTTATTATCTGTCATTAATCCTCACATTGGAAAATTGTTTGTGCTTTTTATTTAATGGATATGTGTTTCAGTTTATCTCTGCCCAGAATGAGTCATAGCTTGCATTTAAACAAGAAACCAGTATTCTGCTTCTCATCTGCTGCAAGACGTAACTAAAGTGATACTTTTTAGCCCTTTAACACGCCCACCAAAAAACTGATGCGTAAGCAACACCCCATCATTTTCTAAAAGAAAACATGGTCAAGCATGTGACTGAAAGAGGCACTTTGCTGGTGTAATATTTTCTCGGAAAGGATAACAAATAAAATTCAGGCTAAAGCTAAATGTTGCATGTTATCCAGATAGCAGTATTAGCACTTGTCTGTGAACATTTGACACATGCCAGTGTTGGGAGGATGTGGCCAGTGTGGTAATAAGGGAAGGAACACACAGCACGGAGGTGACTTCCTGCTGCTCTGTGAAGTGGCAGTTCTGGTAAACCAGTATGGTGGTGGTGTCTGTTAGAAAAGCGACGTCTCCTGATAGAACAAGAAAGATGTTTGAAAAGCTATTGATCAGATTTTAAAAATAAAAAAAAAAAAAGAAGAAAAAAAATATAAGTTGTTCTGTATATCCTACATTGTTCTATTTGGTTTTGATGATTATTTCATTGTAATACACCAGAAGGAAGGAAAACAAAGCTGAGTTAACTGGGTAAGGGATGAGTTATGAGGGGACATTTTTCTTACGCTAGCAACAATTCAATTCAAATGAAGGATAGATCCAAGGAGGGAAAGAGACCTTGAGAGGATCACTGAAATTAGAATTTTCTGAAGATCATGCAGAATTTGTGACTCTGCAAGAGTGCGTCATTTAAAAAAAAAAAAAAAAAGGACGAGGTCTAGAGACAAACTTCTAAATCAAGTTGCTGAAAGTTGTCTTTAGTATAAAAGCAGAGTGAAATGGTTTAAGATCCTTTCTGATATCTTTTGAGATGATCAGAAACAAAGTGAAGAAGACAAACACACGGCAATGATTGTATATACTGTATTTTTAGCCTTTCTGAGTCTTACCAGAGTCCCCCATCTTCAGTGATTCCCACCTATTCTTTCTGTAACGTGAGAGACAGTTTATTGCATAGTGGTTCTCCAGAGCAGTCTCTCACTCAGAGCTGATTGTTGTGCTGGGGATGTGTATTTGAGGTGCCAGATAAGATAAAGGAAAAACCCTGCTGATGTAGAAGAGAAAACCATGGCATGGGTCAGCTTGCACTGAAATGCGGGGCCTTCTGGGACTCTGCAGCATTTGCACAGTTTAGGTCTCTTTCTTCAGAAGAGGGACTTTGTGTCTATTAGCAAAATGCAAGAGAAGAAGGAGGGAAAAGCATTTTAACATAGGGCTTTTATATAGTGCAGACATGCTGTCTAGGCTGGGAAAGATAGAGGGAAGGGAAATGAAAGTATAGTGAATCCTTGCTCCTCTGAATAGACAAGGATGATTGTGCTTGTGTAGTGCTATATATACTTGCCAAGGCAATCTGATCAGTGTTTGTCTTGAACCAACTAATCAATGTGGTGTTGAGTTCAGTGCTATTTATCAGGAAAGCTGGAACAAGAAACTAATCCAGTAAATTTCATTTGTTCTCTGGAGTGGGCTTTGTTTTCATGCTAACTGCATGTAGCAAACCTTGACAGTACATATTGTTTTCCTCATTAGTAACACTTGGAACCTGTGATGTTCCCTGCAGCAGTCAAACCGTGTCCAACACAGCTGAGCATGCATCTTTCTTTGACATATCCAAAGGTCACAGCGTGCACTGATCCTGCTTGCTCCTTGTGCGAACTGGAGCTAAACCCTCCTGTCTCCGTGGCTGGTGTGGAACGAGAGCTGGAGGTAGTTGGCTGTCTTCAGCTCT